TCATAGAAACAAGAAGAGAGATGGTTGCCAGGGGCTGGAAGGAGGGGGGAAATGGGGAGTTTTTTAATTGGTTTAGAGTTTCAGTTCTGCAAGATGAAAAGGTTCTGAGATGAGTTGCACGACAATGTGAATATACTTAACATGGTGAACCGTATGTTTAAGATGGCTAAAATGGTAAATTTTATATATTGGACATCTTACCACAGTTTAAAGACAGATAACTATTTGCAGAGGGAGAGCTGTTTTTTTTTTTTTTCCTCCCTCCTGTTGCTATCAGATCTGCCCAGAGAATTTCTAGGCACCAGGAACCACCTAAATTCCCACACGGAGGTTTTTTTCATGGTATGTTAAAAGTCTGCCTTTGAAGGCACGCTAATTTCAAAATACACTTTATTCCTAAACTGTAGTTAAAAGTATTTTATTTATGCTAGGCTTTTACCTCACTTAATTAAAAACAAAGAACTCATGTTTGATGTGTGTTATGCTGTGTTTGAGGCCATCTTTCCTAGCCAGATGTATCCTCTAAATAAAGCAAGCTGTGTTTCTTCCATCCGGGTTCTTGACTGAAACAGAAAGCAGCCCCAGGCAAATCCCTCTGACCAGGTGAAAGCTGCCCCCTCTTAAAGTGTTAAATGAAGATGATGGCTATAAGGCACGAATGATAATCCCCTTTCTCCAGATGAGGACAATGAGGACGCCAGAAGGGAAAGGAAAGGAAAGGTGACTTGCCCCCAAGTCTGTCCACAGCAAAGGCATGGCTGGTTCAGGGTAAGGGCTCCCTCTGGGTGCTGTGAGGGATGGTAGAGGGAATGCACGCTGGCCAAAACCAGGCCGTCCCCTCCTTCACCAAGCCCCTGCTCCCCAGGCAACCTAAGGGATGGCCCTTTGGCTCAGTGGGGAAAAAGGTCAAAAGCATCAAGTAACTTCTGGGCTTACTGGTACCAGCTCCATGTGGCCTGACCATCTCACCAGATGGTAAGAGCCAGGAAGGCCTCAGAACTCCAGGCGCCTATCCCCACCCCTGCCTCAGGCATTGGTCGGGGCTCCAGGACTTACCCCTTAAGTAAATCCTTATTATCAGATTTAGCAGTAAGTAACATTGACATATATTAAGCATTGAGCACAATCATGAAATTAGGCTTAGCAGTGACTCCCGGAAGAGGGGAGGGAGCGTGGGCCTGAAGCAGCTCCTGAGAGCCGCCTTCTCACCATTTCTGGTTCCTTCTGCAAGTGGGGGCTACCACAGTCATGCTGACCAGCCCACCCTCCATGTGGAGGCCCAGCCAGCACTCTGGAAGGGAACATAGAGGGAACAAGTAATTGGGGACCCCCTGATTGCCATTTGCTTCCCCCAGGGCTCAGCCGAGCTGGCCAAAGGTTGAGAGATCACCCTGAGGGGACTCAGTTAACGGTAACTTTTCACACCTACGGTTACCTTGCAGTTATCATTCTTACTAGCCAAGAGCACGGGCCTGGGTGAGACAGTGTCATTTCCAGAAACTGGGTACTAACTCCCACCTCCTCTACCAGGCTTCCTCCCACATCCCACCCTGCAGAGTCAGCCCAAGTGTCCCCTCCTCCGGGAGGCCCTTCCTGGTGTCCCCCAACCCCCCATAGGTTAGACTCTCCTCCTGGGGTTCACGGTTTTGTGCGCTCCTCCCACCCCCCACAGCATCTGTATCTATGAGTTACAGGTGCTCTTTTCGTTACCTGAGAGCTCAGTGGGGACAGGGAGCAGTCAGTGACGATCAAAGCAACAATCGTGCTGTGTATACAATATGGACAGAGTCACAACCACAACAAATAGTAACTCCATCCATATTCCTCTTACCACGCATGCGTGAGGCCCTGGCCTAGGCTGCGTACTGCGCATGCATTTCTTCTCTGGGGGCCCCTCTCCAGAGAGCCCCAGGGTTACGCCGCTTTCCAGAGAAGGAAGCTCGGCTTCTTGTCCTGGCGGTGATGGGCACCCAGGCTGTGTTCCTGCGCAGGCCACTTACCCCTTCGGAGCCCGTCTGTCCCGGCCACCATGCTTGGAAGCGCTGCTCCATAGGGCCTCCCGCTCCTGCTTCCTGCTTTATCCCCTCGCTCCATGGCTTGGTGTTCTCTGGTGACATTTGCGGCGGAGTCACCTGGGGCCATTTCAGGCCATTTGGAGTCAGAGAAGCAAGGACTCTGTCCCCGTGCCACCCACAAGTGCTGGGCCTCCCTCATGCTGTCTTCCCCAGCTACCCCTGGGTCCCAGGCCTGAAGCTTCCATCCTTTCATCACCCTGCCCTTCCCGATGAGCGCAGGCCACTAGGTTTACGGGTGCTGCCACCTGGTGGTCACAGGGCACCGGCACATAGCGGGGTGGCTGCCGCAGGCTTGGCAGGCTTGGCAGGCTTGGCAGGCTGCAAGCAGGCCCCTCTCTCCACCCAGCGCACGTTTGCAGGACGCAGGACAGCTGGGCTCCAGAGAATGCCACCTAGAAGGCATGGCAGCTTCATGATTAGACCCAAGCGCGCGGCAGAATGGGTTCCAGTCCGAGTTCTGCCGCTTCTCACATACGGGACCTTGGGCCAGCGGACTGATCGCTGTGAGCTTCAGCTTCTTCTTCTTCTTTTTTTAAGATTATTTATTTATTTATTTGACAGATGGAGATCACAAGTAGGCAGAGAAGCAGGCAGAGAGAGAGAGAGGGGAGGAAGCAGGCTCCCTGCTGCGCAGAGAGCCCAGTGCGGGGCTCGATCCCAGAACTCTGGGATCATGACCTGAGCTGAAGGCAGAGGCTTTAACCCACTGAGCCACCCAGGTGCCCGAGCTTCAGCTTCTTAATGGGTCAAATAAGTAACCTTGTCCTTCTGTGTTGGGGCCACGTGCCCCAGCCACCACCTGGAGATTCTTCCCAGGGCACCCCCTTAACTTCATTATCATTTAAAATGGAATTTCTGGTAAATTTCTGCAAATGAGGTATTCAACTCCAAATTATGTTCATTTTAAGCAAAACATGTGGCCTTTGGAGAATTGGGGGTGTGCTCAAGCTGCCAGGCTGCTCCGCCAGCCCCTCTCGCCAGCTGCGTCTTTAGCTCTTCTGCTGTTAAGGGCTCGACCACGAGCAGCACTCATGCACCGGCTTCTTAAGGCCGTTCTCAGCACGTGGCGTGTATCTCATTTAGCCAGAACTTAACAAATTACCGTGATTTCACAGAGCAGAGATCTGATTCAGAGAGGCTGAGTAACTTGTTTGAGGTCATGTGCTTGCTAGAAGAAAGAACCAAGCCTCACACCAGAGTCTGTCTGACACTAGAATCCTCGCCTGCCCACCATTGTAGAAAGCTCTAGAAGCTATTCTGTCCCTGAGTTCCCTTAAGCAGCACACGACAGGGACATTAACACTGATGTATACTCCTTAGGGTCCCAACATCAACCAGAGAAGGGCCTCCTGGCCCAGGGTCCAAGAAGGTGAAATCAGACCCTCAACTCCCTCTCCCCTCAGGGGACTGCCAGCCAGTGACCCACAGGACCTGAGCAGGACTTCTGGCTCACCTTTGGAAGGTACAGTCCAGGCAGGACTTCCTCGTACCAGATGAATTCCTTGGCTGTTTCAGTTCTCCCTTCCTGGAACTTCTCTGAATTTACTGAGGGCACAGGGGTCATAAACACATCTTTTCTAACCACCTCCTCTCCTACGCCAGGGCTGGGAACGGGGATCTGGCCTTCCTCTCACTGAATCATGGGTGCAGGGTATAGTGGGGGATGCAGTGTCCCATTCCTACCGGAGGAAAACTAAGGTCCAGAGAGGGGATAGGACTCACCCAAGGTCACACACCAAGGGGCACCGAAGCCCTTGCCTGGCTCCTACCTATTGCTCACTGCCTTGGGCTCCTCAGGGGAATGCTGACATCCTCTGTGGACCCTGATGGGGACAGGCCTCCCACACACACCTGGCCCAGTTCTGTGCATGCTAGAGCTTAGACACACAGTGGAGAAGATGGACTATGGGGAGGCAGCTGGTAGCTGATGCTTGGTTCCCTCCAGGAGCAGATATACTTCCCAGCTCTGGGGAGCTGGTTTCCTGGGGGACCCCCAGTGGTGGTCTCACACTGGCTGGGGTTCACAGGGATGGATGATTGTTTTCCAGATCTTCCTATTGTTCTTTTTAGTTACTAAGCAACTAACTAGAGTCTACATGCTCAGAAGAGAGAAAGCAGGCTAGACCCTGAATAGCGCCAGAAGGGGCTTAGTCCCCAGGGTGAGGCCTGCTGAGATACCTGGGGCTACAAGGGTCACCCATGAGAAGTGGGTAAGCAGGGACTCTGGGACAGTGGGGCAGATCGGGGGTTACTGTGCATGGCATCACCCACCTGCACACCCTCCAAGAGTCCCCGGGATAGCCTGGGTTTGACAGGCAAAGGAGGAAGGATTATAAACTGCTTCATTCTGGGGCCTTGGGGCAGATACTACTCCTCCTTAGGGCCTCAAGTGTCCCCTGTATAAGATGGGTGTATGTCTCTTGCCAGCTTGGTAGACACAGTGAAGCCAGTATGAATACACAGGTGGGCTGTGAAGACTTGGGCCACGTGAAAGTTTAGCACCATGGTGACACTGGGTCACTCCCAGGATGGCCAGGGCCCACAGTGCTGGGCCAGCACCCATCGCATTCTCTTCTAGGCTGCCCTGGAAGGCCAGCAGAGCCCAGGAGGGGTGGGCATAAAAGATGGCCTTTCTACTGTCCTACAAGAGAGGCTGCCTGCCATAATCAGCCATTAGCCCCCATCCCCTGGGTCCCTGCCCTTCCATGACACTCTGTGGATGGTTCTGTTGCCCACAGCTCCCTTGGTCATTCCCGGTCCAGCTATAATGCTCTCCTCACAGTCGCTCATGTATGGGGGTTCCCCTCATTGACCTTCTATTCTAGAAGCTTTTCTAAGAGGCTTGGGATGCTTCCCCTACCCCCACCCCCACGTGATTGGCAGCAGAAAAGAGGAACTCTACCAGTTACCAGCACTGGCCTCAGCTCTCCAGGTCCCCGGGGATGGGCCACAGACACAGGCAGCGGGGAAACCCAGTGGGGAACCCCACTTCTCAGGGGCCTCTGTTGGCAAGGATCCCAGGCTGGGGTTTCTCAACCTCTCAGCACTGGGGTTGCACTTCTGCAATGGGAAATTATGCTCCCATTTTCTTTCCTAAAGGGAAAAGGGAAGAAAGCAGTGACATGGAGGCATGACGTGATGCATCACAGCCTGGCAGCAGAGCTGTAACCGCCAGCCCCAGACCCAACTCGGCTCAGCCCCACATGCTCCTGAGAGCTCACAGCTGCAATGTCAGACTTGGAGGGGTCCCTGGCAGTAAGGTAGGTGAAGGTCAGGGGGACTGGAGCCACAGCCGGGGAGAGGGTCTGGTGGGACTGGGAGCAGGGGCCCTGCTGGCTCCTCGTCAGGTGCCTCTCAAAGTGTCTCATCCTACTGTCTCATCCCAGAGACGGCACTGGTAGGGTGGCTTTCTGCTTCCCTAGAAAAACTGGGGGGTCCTAGAGACATGAGAGGGCCTCATCGGGGCTCTGTCCTGGCGGAGGATTTCTGTCAGCTCTGGAGCGTTCAGTGGAGCAGCGAGTCACGTCTCGTGAGCAGTGGTGAATTTTAATTTCTGGGGAATTCTCTCAGGATCCCTGTGCCATGGGATCTGGTCCTGGAAGCGAACTCTGAGTTTCTGGCCAGGACTGAGGACGTGGGTACCCTTTTCGGCTGTCCTGGGCCCAGCTTACCTTCCGAACATCAGGAGGAGGTTTCCTGCAGGCGGGGTCCTGGGATATGGATGGAAACACATGTATGTCTGTGCTTTAGGGAATAGGGAGGGTCCTGAGGAGCCTGACCCCTCACTATCAAAGTGCAAGGTCCTCACCATTTGCCTGCTTCACCCAGAAGGTAGAAGTGTCCAAGGATCTGGGACTGAGACTACCTGTGATAGGTTTCTAGTCCCACAGCCCTTGAGGACCAGGCTTTCATTTACAGTATACCAAAACCTGATTTCACAGGATTTTCGTGTGTGTGTGTGTGTGTGCGTGCGTGTGTGTACCTCCACATTTAGCCATTTAGCAAATGTGCCCCCATACAGATGTTGTGGTCGGGCCCAGTGAGCACAGGGCAGTGGGACACAGGCCAGCAGCTCAGACCACAGCCTGCCCCTGGGGGGCCTCAGGAACCACAGGAGGAGCAGAGTTCAGGGAAGACAAGACAAGGACCCACATGACTCTGGTATGGAATGAGAAGACGGGCTGAATGGGGTCTCTGGAGGGGGGTGCAGGGCAGAAAGAGGAAAAGAGCTTCATAGAAGAGGCCACCTTTGAACTAGGACTTTAAAGATGAATGGCATTTGGGTAGAGTTTGGGACGGAAGATGACCTGTAGCAGAGAAAATACTGTAGGCCGAAGCCTGGAGCCGGGAAAGTGTAGGATTAGTTATTCAAACCCATTCATCTGGTTCCCAGTGCAGGCGGTGGCAGGCTTTGCACCATATGGCATTGGTGGCTGTGCTAGAGAGTTTAGATTCCTCAAATCCATGCGGGAGCAAAGCCGACTGTTGGAAGTAGATTTCTTGCATATGTGCCAGTGAGATTCTAAAGAACAGATTACCAGAGGTGGAGTGGCTGGGACAAAGGAGGTGCACACTTCTCACTGTGGCAGAGAGAAGTGCTCTCGGCCTCTGTGTTACTGTGTTACTTGGCCTCTGCAGAGTTCCTGTCAGTTCTTGAGCGAGATCTCTCCATGCTCTCCACCTTCTTCCTCGGGATCTTCCTTCTGCCCATATAATAAGACATTCACGCCCAAAACGTGCTTGGCATGGTGCCAGGTCAATGGAAGCCCTTGGAACATGTTAGCTGTTTTTATATTTTCTCTGGGTCTCCAAGCAGCCTTTCTGGTCCCCCAGGAGCCAGCTGGGCTTCCCGATTCTGTGTCTGTCCACAATTCCTGCTGCTAGAAGCATCTGTCTCCTCCATCAGCTGGGTATTCTGGAGATCAACAGTTTCTCCTGTTGCCTGTGCTCATTCCCAGCAGCTGGGCAGTGCCTGGCTCAGGCAAGGGCTCAGCAAGGGTGGTTTGGGGGACTGTTGGATACAAGGAAGGTGTGTCTTGTCTGCCTGTCCTTCTCTTCCACAAAACAGAGCCAGATTGTCTCCAAATGACAGTAGGCCACCAAAACCACACCATGCAAGCTGAAATGCCTTATACCTCGCAAAGATAAGGATAGGCATCCTTATATTACAGAAAAAAAAGGTAAAGCTCAGAGTGGATGAGTGGTTGAGTCCTACTCCCAGAGCATGCTGGAGTTGAAGCTGAGGCTAGACCCAGCAGGGCTGACATCCCACACCAACTCTAGTCTTGGCACCATCCTGGTTTGGACGGAATCACCATATCCACACTCAGGGCTCTGCTGTGTTTGGCTGGAGCTGGTTCAGGGGCCCTGAGGTGGGTAAGCAAGTCTAGGCTCCAACCACATCTTTCTGTCTGTGTTCCCTCCTTCCCAGCCTCCCGTCCATGGAGCGAGCCCTCACCATCCTGCATGTGAGCCTGTACCATCCCAAGCGGGACCTGGCCATCTTTGCCAAGGTCCCACCACAGCTGCAGCATGATACCAGCCCGCTGCTAGTGGGGCGGGCCCCGGAAGCCCACCTCCAGCTGCAGCTTCCCCACCTCTCCTGCCGACACCTGTCCCTGGAGCCCTACCGGGAGAAGGGCAGCGCTCTGCTGACCTTCTGCCTGAAGGCCCTGAGCCGCAGGGGCTGTGTGTGGGTCAACGGGTTGACTTTGAGGTTCCTGGAGCAGCTTCCTCTGAGCCCAGTCAACAGGGTCGCCTTCTCCGGCATCCAGATGGTGGTCCGCATAGAAGGGGGCACCTCGCTGGAGGGCTTCGTCTGCTGCTTCCATCTCAGCCCCTCACCCCTGATTCACAGGCCGCAGGCTGAGGAGACTGATGAAGGGGAGAGCACCTCCCAGGGGCAGCCTCCCCCAGGTTCTGGGCCACGGGCTCCAGGTCACCAGGGGCTTCTCCACGGCCCTTCCCTGCCTAGCCCTGGAGGAGGAGCAGAAACACAGCTCCAGAAGGAGATCTCAGATAGTGTGTTGTGCTAGCCCCACTGGCTGCCCAGAGCAAGCCTCGCCTGGATGAGGACTTGAACTCTTGGAGCGACACCACGCGGAGGTTGACCAGCAAGACCTGCCGGGTAACAATGAACTGATTCTGCAAATATGCACAGCCTGGGGAGAGGGTTGGGGGCGCTGTGGCACACCCTCTGTGCTTACAGCTCTGCAAGGTAATGGGAGCTTCCTATACTTTTAGAGGCCCTGAGGGGTTCGGAGAGCCTCTCTCAAGCCTTTCCCCACCTTTCCCTCCTCTTGTCTGCCTAGGAGTTACTTTATGTTGCTAATTTCGTGTGTTGCTTAAGAGCTGGAGTTTGAGGTCGCGCCAGGAATGCATGGACACATGTAACAATTACGTTTGTGGTAGCTCGGGGTTACCTTGGGCTTTCAAATACCCACAGGCACTCCGGGCTTAGGGAAGCCTGTGTTTAATAAACTGCAAGTATTTCATTAAACTGGCATACCCAATAGGATCCCCTGACCCCCAGATGGGCTGCATGCTCGCCGTGTTGTCACGCAGAGGCGGGGGCGGGAAGTAGAGAAGAGGTGTAAGAGGAAATTGGAAAGGTGGGGGCTCACATTTCTGGAAAGGATGTGGGCAGAGCTCAGGGTTTCCCTGCAGGGTGGGGAGCTGGGGGCTGAGCCTGCCTGGAAATTCAATGTCCCGGTCACCCTCAGGCTCCCTCCCTGTGTCATTTCTGGATCAAAGCCTTGGCTGATCAGAGGGCAAGGTCTTCAGGGAAAGGTAGCTTCCCAGAGCAATGGGGTCTTTCAGAGGGTGGGGAGGGAGGTTGTGGTAGAATTCAACTCAGCCGTTGTTTGACTCAAAATGGCCATTAGGGGTGGGGTTGTCTTTCAAAAATAGGGGACGAGTAGTGAGCCAGGCGGACCAAGGGTGGGACAGCTTTCTCAGTGAACAGGGAAGCTGAGCACAGGCACTCACTCTTCATGTCATTCTAGTGGCAGTGGGGGATTGGAAGTGTCATTTAAGAACAGCATTCACCTGTGTAAGGAAGTGAGGGACCCACAAACCCGGGGGGGGGTCGTCATCATCCTAGATCCTGCTCTAGGGTATCTGAGACACTGAGGCCATGGGGCTGCCTACAGGCTGGCTCACATCCTCTGGCCTCTAACCACCTCCAACAAGTATTTCAACACTCTCTACTTCCCACCCATGAAGAAAAACCCGTTTGCACCCAAGGCAGCTACAGGGACATTCAGCTGCCCTGCCCATACCTCCCCGAGCATCGCCTCCCGGGGGAAGATAGCAGTGGGCAGGACCCTGGCCTGTTCTGGCTGGGGAAGCTTCTCTTTTAATAGGGAATAAGGCAAGGACCCCGAGGTTGCAGACACAACGCACAGGAGGGCAAGGGCTACAAGGAGAGGGGGCTGTCTAATACAACGAATGGCCCCTCAGGTCTCCCAAGCAGTCTTTCACTGAGTCATTCAACAAACTTTCACAAGATGCTATGCAAAGCCCCAGGAACCCACAGTGAACTAGTCAGGCAAAGGCCTTGCCCTCAGAGAGTTTATGTGGGCTCACGAAAGACACCTGTGGAGGAGCTAATCACTTCATTACTTGATGACCACTATTACTGGTGTTGTAAATGCTGTGTTTTCTCTGTCTTCAAGCTGGGGTTAACATTCACAGTACCATTAAGTGGCCATGTCTGATGAGTGCTTACTGTGTGCTCAGCGCTCTGCCAGGTGCCACGTGACTTGCTCGGCTGAATCCTCAAAACACCCAGACAGATCATGGCATTAACACATTGTATTGATGAGGAAATCAAGACTTAGAAAGGGCATCTTGTGTGGCATATATGAACAATGGAATAGTATGCAGCCACCAAAAAGATGAAATCTTGCCATTTGCAACAATGTGGATGGAACTAGAGCGTATTATGCTAAGCAAAATAAGACAATCAGAGAAAGACAATTATCATATGATCTTTCTGATACGAGGAATTTGAGAGGCAGGGCGGGGGAGTCATTGGAGGCAGGGAGGGAAAAAGTAAAACAAGATGGGATCAGGAGGGAGACAAACCATAAGACACTCTTAATCTCAGGAAACAAACTGAGGGTTGCTGGGGGAGGGGTGGAAGGGGAGGGAGAGGGTGGCTGGGTTATGGACATTGGGGAGGGTATGTGCTATGTTGAGTGCTGTGAAATGTGTAAGCCTGATGATTCACAGACCTGTACCCCTGGGACAAATAATACACTATATGTTAATTAAAAAAAAAAGAAAGGGCATCTTGCCCAAAATCACATCACTCACTAGGTGTGTGATCTTGGGCAAATGACTTAGTCTTCTCTTGCCTCCATTTCTCCCTCTGGAAAGTGGGTAAGATAATAGTACCCATCCACCAGGGATGTTATGACAGTCTTAGGAGGGGGCAGTGTAAAGCTCATAGGGAACAATTTGTCATACAGTAGGCACTCAGTACAGGTTAGATATCTACTGTTGTGAGACCAGAGAGATGGTACATAATAGGTCCATATCCAGGGGCTCACCTGGGATGCATATATGGAGCTAGAGAAGGCTGGAAGGCTGACAGACTGGCTGCAGAGCCCAAGAGCTCTTCTGCACTCTGTGATCACGTGATAAAGGATTTTGTCTTTGCCAGAGACCTGGTGGGCAGTCAGGAGCAGGCTTTAACCTGTTGCTTGCACCAGAAGGCCCAGTATTCAGAGTCAGTAGGATGGGAGACACCCTGCGAGGACTGGCAGTCAGAAGAAGCCCACTGTTTTGGAACAGCCTTTATTTTTCACACACAGATTCTAAATGCAGCGATGATCTCTCCAGAGAGCAGAATGTTCCCCCAACTACGCTAGGGAGCAGGAGTGCACCTACAGAACTGGGAAGCCACATCCTGGAGACTGCACCTGGTCTTTGAACATAGAACAGAGGAAGCCCTCTGGGGCCGTGCACCCCAGAGTCACAGGGGGCAGCTCCCCGCCTCCACCAGGGAACTTCTGTCACTGAGAGGGGTCGTCTTCCTTCTAGGAAGCAGCAAACCCTCCCAGCTGGGGGTCTCCAAGGGGAAATGAGCTGCCTCCTGATGAGGAATCTGAGATTCCGAGTCAGGCATCTGGGGGTCCCTCCGGGAACACACAATGAATCACAGGGTGGGTTAAAGGACACATGCCAGAGACAGGGCTGGAGGGAGCCAGACTCTCTTAATTCACAAACTCTCCTTGCAAAACTCCTTGCTTGCCTCGCACCAGCAGGGAAGCTCTGCTCCAGGCTAGATCCCATTATTCTTGAATAGAGGATCATCCCTGAACCCACTCCCATTGTCACACCTGATACCTCTCTCCTTGGCCTGCAAAGACAGCTCGAGCAGACTGGAGGGAAATTGCCAATGACATCCTCTGCATTCTCTCACTTCCACACGCAGGGCAGTGCACGTGTGAGGGCAGGCGAGGGGGTTCGTGTGCACGCCTGCACTGACATGAGCTGTCTGTGCCCACTGGGGTGGCCCCTGGCCAGGGCTCTGCAAGCAGTGGGCTACCTGCAAGCAGTGGGCTACCTGGGTTGGAATTCCTGCTCAACTGTGTACTCATTCTGTGATCTTGGATGAGTGAATTTCCCCGTTCCTCAGTTGCTTCTGGAAACCGTGAAAGGTAATGGCTGGCCATGGTGATAAAATGAAACCCCGCTTATAAAGCACCTAGGACAGCGCCTGGCACATAGTAAGTGCTCCATCGAGTTTGTTTCATTGTCAAGTTCAAGGGAATGAATTGAACGCAGGCAGGCACATTGTCTCAGCTTACACACACACACACACACACACACACACACACACACACACATCCGCTCTGCAGAGCTACACCAGTTCCCCTCAGACACCCCCCAGAGCACTGCAATTCTCTGAGACCACGTCTGGAAATGCAGAAATCATCCCCTGTGCCTTTTAAGGCATTTCAACCCTACCAGTCCTCTGCTTTTCCAAGAATAGGAGTCTTCCAACCTGTCTGCGAGACACTGCATCTCCTCCAGCCCCATTTCGAGGGAGACCGAGAAGACCCGGTAAACGGGCAAGGCTGTGACAGCAGACACATCGCTCAGCATGGTCCTGGCTATGGCCTTGAGCAAGGAAGACCACAGCTGAGCACCCGCAGTCCACGCAGGACCTCAGAATGCTGCAGCCATTGTTTTTGTGTCTGTCGCCCTGTGAGGCTTCGGGCTCTGCACAGATAGGGACCATGGGTTGTCTGTGGCTGCGTTCCTGGTGGCCATCAGGGAGCTGGCCAGAGAATGGATGGACAGACAGACGGGCGAGGAAGCAGTCACCTCGGCTGTGTGAAGGCATGAGCCAGGCAGGCGAGGGCATGGCCGAGGCTTGTAGTGATGGGACCGGAGACGGGCCGGCCAGCTGGGACAGCAAGCCCTCAAAGCCGGGGGCAGACAGTAAGTCTCTGGCTGCTCTTGGCCCCAGTGAGGAGAACCCAGATCCTCTAGCTGGGATAGAAGGTGACCAGTGCCTCTCCCTGGTGCTGGGACTTCTGCAGCCCAAACCAACCAGGAATCTGAGTTTTCGGAATTCTGTCCAACAACCGCTGCAGAAGGTTGACAGATCTGACAGGTCCCCAAGTCACTGAGGATAGCTCTCAGGCAGCACTTCCTGTCCCAAGAAGAGGCATGGAGACACCCCCAGGAGACCCCAGAAGGGGCTCCAAGCCCAAACAGTCACAAGTTGGGCTGGTGGGATTGAGTCAGGGCCCTGGAGGCTCACCACATCTCCATAGGATTTGGTCTGACCTTTCTGCCCCAGCCCCATACGATGGAGGCCGCCCTCCACAGAACCTCCTTCCCCAAACACACACTAAGAACAAGCTGCCTGCCTAAGCCGACACCCTGCCTGCCCGCCTGCTCAGACCAGAGCTGTCCCATAAAGAGATACCCTCTGGTACAGGAAGCTAAGACATCACACTGCCAGGGGCATCCGCGTTTACAAAGGACTAGAGAGGGTGATGTCTGCTCTGAAGGAGTGGGTTTGGTTGTAGAAAGGGGGCATTAAAGGTTTCACAGGCGGCCAGTAAAGGAAACATTTCCCTTTCCCCTCAAAGGGACAGTCACTTCATCAAAGTATAAAGCAGG